GCATGAGGGTGAGGAGGTGAGGGAGGTCATGAGGGTGAGGAGGTGAGAGGGTGAGGAGGTCATGAGGGTGAGGAGGTCATGAGGGTGAGGAGGTGAGCAGGTCATGAGGGTGAGGAGGTCATGAGGGTGAGGAGGTCGAGAGGGTGAGGAGGTCGAGAGGGTGAGGAGGTCATGAGGGTGAGGAGGTCATGAGGGTGAAGAGGTGAGAGGTACCTTGAACAGTGAAGGTGCGTCCGAACACCTCGATGACGGGCGAGTTGAAGAAGTACTCTCTGAACATGGAGGTGTCGATGGTGGCCGACATGAGGATGATGCGGACCTGCGGGTAGGCCTGGACCACGTCCCTGAGGACCACCATCAGGAAGTCCGTCTGCAGAGACACACACACAGAGGGTCAGACCAGGTCCAGGTCTTGACCGGACCCACGTGAACCCTCTACACACTACACATGAACTCACGTTGATGTCTCTCTCGTGGATCTCATCAACGATCACGTGACTGATTCCTCGGATTCCCGCTTCGAGCTTCCGCAACAAAACACCTGAAACACGGAAACACACACCTGTCAACACGTCCGCAGGTTAATGTAGAGAGCTAACGTTAGCCTGGCGCTCCTCCCGGCTACGTACCCACGGTGCAGAAGAGGACGCTGGCATGCGGTCGAGGGAGGACGGACTCGAAGCGGACGCTGTAGCCGCAGCTCTTCCCGACGTCCTCTCCTCTCTCGTAGGCGACCCGCTCGGCCACCGACACGGCGCTGATCCGTCTGGGCTGCAGGGACCAGAGTTCATGTGTTCACCTCCTATTGTTCATCTAGCTCACTGTACGGACATGAACATGGTTCAACCGCACCTCCTGAGTCCTCAGAGGCTCAACAGGACTGTGAATGGAGTCTGGTGTCGAGGGAGGAGAGGAGGACAGGGAGGTGAGGAGAGGGAGGTGAGGAGGAGAGGGAGGTGAGAGAGGACATGGAGGTGAGAGAGGACATGGAGGTGAGAGAGGAGAGGGCGTGTGGGAGGAGAGGGAGGTGAGGAGGAGAGGAGGTGAGGGAAGGCAGGAGGTGAGGGAGGAGAGGGAGGTGAGGAGGAGGGAGGTGAGGAGGAGAGGGAGGACAGGGAGGTGAGGGAGGACAGGAGGAGAGGGAGGACAGGAGGAGAGGGAGG